ACTATTTATTCCATCATTTTATATGAGATATCCCAAAAAATTGTATTATGCTTTCATCCAATGGCTATATATGCCTACATTATGTTTTATATCAATCTATTAAGATTCTATAACAAAATTATCTATTCTATTACCTTACCATGTTTTTTTAATCCAACCATTGATAAAACAAATCCCATATCATATAAAATTGCTTATCTTCTTGTTCTCGAATTTCAAATGTCAATTTACTCATTTCAGCACAGTCCATAATTTGTTTAATAACTTCCTCCTACATAGGTATTTTATTATTTTTCCAATTCTTCGCAAATACAATTCTAGCCGCTGTTAAAACATTTACAATCAAATATTTCATCTCTTTGTTGTATGTTTCCTGTATGATTCCCAATAAAAAGATCTCTGGTTTAAAATCTATATGTTGTTTTATCATTTTTTCCAACGATGTGTGGATTTTAGTCCAATATTTATTTACATCCAAACATGTCCACCACATTTGGTAATATGATGACATTTCCAACATTTATCCGATTTATTCTTAAACATTCTCGCAAGTCTCACCGGAGGTAGATGCCACCTGTAAAACATCTTATACAAATTTTCTTCATATGCAGTTGACATTGTCATTTTATAATTTTGAGACCACAATTTTTGCCATTTTTCTAAATCAATCCCATATCCAAAAAATTTTCCCCAAGCAATCATCGTTTCTTTAACTTGTTCCTTCTTCAGTTTAAATTCTAATAAAAGTCCATAAAGTTTTTTAATTACCTTTTCATCAGTACCCATCAAAATTTTATCTAAATCAGTCAACTTGTCATAAATACCTTCTGCTTTAGAATCTTTATCAAACCTAGATTGTATTTGCAAATATGAAAACCAGTTCATTTTTACACTTTGCTCTTCCAATGCTTGCATGGATTTAAAATTCACCCTTTTCATTCAATATCTCACCATATCTAACTGTTTGTTTCTTTTTTTATATTATTAGATAAGAAAAAGCTTCAATAGTTGATATCCATAGTGGAATTTTTAAGTAGTATTGTCTTTTTATCTTCTCCCAATTCAAGCCTCTCAAATATAATGTCTTCTAAAATACCCCTGTGTTTTAGTTCCCTTATACCAGAGGAAAGCATGCCATCCCAACAGCAAGTCATGCCCTTCTAAAGTCAATAGTCTACTGTTCCTTAGTGTTATCCATTCCTTTACCCACATCAAACTTGTCGCCTGATAATATAACTCCCAATTGGGCAAGGCAAACCCTCCTCTTATTCTTGCATCTTGTAACAGTTTTAATTTTATTCTTGCTTTTTTACCCTGCCAAATATATTTCAACACAATTCTACTTAAATCTTCAAAAAAATATTTCCCTAATCAGATAGGAATTATTTGGAATAGACATAAAACTCTAGGCAGTACATTCATCTTAATTGTAGATATTCTCCCAATCAATGATAGTTGTAGTTTTTTTCCCATTTTATCAAGTCTGTCGCAATCTGCTGTTTGAGTTTAACATAGTTGTCCTCCTTCGGTGTGCTTACATCTTGGTGTAATATATATCCTAAATACATAACCTTGTTTGTGACCTGTATTTTTAAAATTTCTTCCAACTCTTTCTTTTATCTTGCTAATGTATTCTTTGTTAAAATCTTTGTTTTATCTTTATTTATTTTCAAACCTGCTACTTTTCCATGTTCTTCTATTTTTTCTATTAATATAGGTGCTGTTTCCAGTGGATCTTCTGATATAAATACCAGGTCATCTGCAAAAGCTTGCAATTTATATTCCTCCTTTTTAATTTTCATTCCTTTTATTTCTTTTTCTTCTCTGATGTTCCTATTCAACACTTCCAGTGTTAACACAAACAGCAGAGGTGACAGTGGACAGTCTTGCCTTGTCCCTTTTCTTATATCTATAGATTCTGTTAATTCTCCATTCACCATTACCTTTTCAATTTGTTCATGATATATCATTTCAATGGCTTGAATAAATTTTTTACCAAAGCCCATTTGTATCAACTGAAGTAAAATAAATCACCAACTCACATTGTCAAAATCTTTTTGTACATCTAAAAACATCAGGGCCATTTGCTTCTCAGGGTGTGCTTCATAATACTCCAAAGTATCCAAAATAATTCCCACATTGTCTCTTTGGCAGAAATCATTTTTGATCAATATGGATGAAGTTGTTTAGGTATATTTTCAGTCTTTCTGTCAAGATTGAAGCAAAGATTTTATAGTCTGAATTCAATAGGGATATAGGTCTATAATTTTTAACTTGCTGCAGGTCTGTGTCCTCCTTCGGTATAAGTGTAATATATGCTTCTGACCATGTTTTGGGTATTCTTTTCTTTGACATAACTTCATTCATAACTTCTAAAATATGAAGGTTCAATATTTCCCAGAATGTCTTATAAAATTCCACTGGCAAACCATCTGGACCTGGTACTTTCCCGACATTCTGTTTTTTTAAGGCTTCTGTTAATTCCATCATCGTTATATTCCCTTCTAACATTGTTTCAATATTTTTAGGTATCTGAGGTAAATTCACTTTCTGTAGCTATTGCTTAATTTTTTTCTTCTTGAATATTCTCTTGGAAGTACAGTTTTCCATAGTAATCTTGTATAACTTTTATCTTCTCCTCATTTCCATAGCAAACCTGTCCTTTAATTATTAATTGACTAATCTTTCTTGCTTCTCTTTCCTTTCTCAGTTTATAAGCTAACCATCTGCCTGGTTTGTTTGCATCTTCAAAGTAATTCTGTTTAGCATTTTTAATTTTTTGTGCTAGTTCCTCTTTTTCCATTAGTCCTATTTTATGTTTAATTATATCCATTTTATTTTTAATGTCTTTTTTTGTGGGGACTTCTGCAAATCTTTTTCCAGTCTTTTATAATCATCCTCTAATGTCTTAAATGTCTTTTTCTGTTTTATATTTCTTTTCCTTGTATAATCTATTATCAAACCTCTTGTGTAGGCCTTCATCATGTCCCAGAGATTCTGTAAAGATGTATCCTCTTTTCTATTTTCTTTGAAAAAGAAAACAAGTTCTTTCTCTATTTTTTTGTTTAAAGTCTTTTTCTTTTAATATCGTATTATTTAAAGTCCATCTAGATCTCCTCTTTTATCCTTTCCAAATAACTGACACTGGATTATGATCTGCCCAAGTACTTGTTTCTATTTCGATCTGTCGTATGTTAGCCAATAATTCTGCTGACATCCATATCATATCATATTCTAGACCAGGATGCATTCCTGTTTGAATAAAAAGTATATTGCTTACTTTCCGCATTTCTCTCTCTCCATGCATCTTTTAAATTAAATTCTTCTGTTATTCGAAAAAAGGATTTTTGTAGTATCTTTCTAGCTTTCTTTGTTGATTTCTGTGTTTTATAGTCCAACCGATCATTAATTATTCCATTAAAATCTCCCATCATACAAATATTAACAAAGTCCAATTCAATTATTTTCATATGTAATTTCCTGTAAAATTCTTCTTGATTATCATTCGGAGCGTAAATTGCAATTAAAAGTGTTTTAACATTGTCATCCATTATTTCCACCATCAAAATCCTTCCATCATCATCTGTGTAAATTTGTTTTGCCAAAATTGTTTCTTTAACATATAATACCACACCCCCTTTTTGGATTGTGCGAGCGAAGTAAATAGTTTCCCTAATTTTTTTTTTTAATATATATTCATGTTGTTTTTTAATATGTACTTCTTGTAAGCAGATTATGTCAAATTTTAATTTCTCTAATTTGTAAAATACTTTCCCTCTTTTAGTGGCCAGATTAAGTCCATTTATATTAATTGTAATCAATTTTCTTTCATCCATGTTAAGCTTCATAAGAAGGTTTTATTGCTCTGGTAGATCTCAATTCTCGTTGTTCTCTGGGTTCACCGCCTTTCTGCACCTTCTTCTTTTTCTCTTTCAGTTACTGCTTATAGGCTAACATATTTGAGCGTATTCAGAAATTTATATTATCTTTCTGGTGTCAGGCATGAAAGTAGAACTCTTACACTTGTCTATTTATGGATCAGACACCTTCACAGAAACATATCCTTTACTATATAATCTTCAAGATCCTTAAATGAATTTTTCTTTGATTTCTCCTAGAAACTATGATTTTTTGATTCAGAAGAGAAACCTAAGTTCAATGCTTTTGAAAAGTTCTTGCTGCAGTCATCTCTTCGCTGTATTTATAGTTACCCCATCTCTCAACCAACTGAAATTGATTAATTCCAGCACCATCAGTAACCATTGCTTTTGATTCTAGTGCTGATAGTAACACAGATATGCAACTATTCTTTATGAACAAATTATTAAGACTACTGAAAATAACTTCATCTTTTTAATATTTTTAAAAATATGATTTTTAAAAATATTAAAAATATGAAGTTATTTTCAGTAGTCTTAATAAAATTTGGGCCAAAGTCAATACTAGCAGACAGTTCCCCTTATATAACACTTGGTTTCAGATAAACCATAGCTCTGAATCTCATCCAAACTGACAAAGTAGTAGAATGTATGGTGGTCTAGTAAATCAACATTAAGAATTGAAGCTCAGATTTGGTTCTCAAATATGCTTTATGCCAATCCAGGATCAATATGCCTTTTTGTTCCCATGACACTATTAGTTTTCTGCAGTTAAGCAAATTTCATTCATAACACTGCTCACTTAAACTTATGGTTTGGTATTTCAGTTACTTTAAAATAATTGAAACTTCCCTGATCTTTTGAGACTCAAAACAAATGGAAGATTCTGCCTCTAACAACTGCCTATATGATGTTAAAAACAGACAAGTAAGCTTTATTTCCTATAAGTATCACAATCCTTTGATTGTCTTTTGGCATTGTTTCCACATGTGATGATTACAAGAAATTACAGATTTTACAGATTTCTGATATCTACACATTGAACACAAGCATTATGAAACAGGCATAATAGTTAGAATGTCATGACTGAGTAATCCAACCTGCTTCTATGCAGTGAAGGAGATTTGTCATTGTAGTGAAAATTGTCCCATAAGGGATAAAGATTCTTTCATGCAACTCTACAAGAAATAGATAATACAAAGCTAGTTTTGGAGGACAGTAGCTCATAGTAATAAGGTATCCAATACTCTAGAGTCTAGAAGATCGTCTTTTCCCAGCTGAAACCTATGATGTCTTTGTTCTTTTTCTTATCTTGTTTAGAAACAGCACTAAAATAATAGGCTGTCTTCTTCATGCCTATTTTAAACTCTGTTCTTCACTTCCTTGATTGACCATTGTTGAAAATTGCATGTGTATAATGGACACCCAAACTAGGATTTAAGGGGAGTGGAGTTGGGGTAGAAATGTTAAAACAGAGTTGACATTTTCAGGTATTGCTACAATTGTTCTCTCCAAGGTCTTCAACGGAAGGTTATGTTGATAATACGCTACAAGTTCATTATTTCTAATGCATAATTAGTTCATTAGACCAGACAATGAAGTCGCCATATTACTTATTCCATCCCCCTATACAATAGTATTGCACCCTATTGCCAAAACAGCACTTCCCATCTTTTCTAAAGTCTGTGATGCAGCTATTTGCTGAGCCTCCATTAAATTCTAACTATAGAACAAAGTGCTTCCAACTTTGTAACATTGATAGGAATTTCACTTTTGAGGGGACTTAAGACTTGAGCCACCAGCATAAAAAGATGTTTCTGGTCGCCCCCCCACCCTTAATTTATGGTTGCTGGATTGGAAAGAGCTTGATGTGTCTAGCATTCTAATGAAAGAATACTTCACAAGATACTGACAGGATTTGGACATACTGAGCATTGGATGAATGTCTGTAATAAAGCTTCCATTCTTCTGTATCTTATTCAAGCTAAGAATAAGTATGGTTAGGAGGCTGACATTCTCAGCTTTTAGTAAAAGAATGCTTGTCAAGGAAACAGAATAATCTAACACCAGGGCTTTAGAAATTCTGGATGTCTGGCAGCTAGTAATAAGCTAAGCAAAAGTTCACTAAGAGTTCTGCACAGTATTTTTATTCACCATTGTGCAGGCATAGAATAATAGAGGTGGGAGATCTTCTGATTCAACCCCAGTCCAAATCAGGAATCTTTTTATATTTATGTTTCAACTGTATTGTAAGACTCCCAGAATTGGATGGTGAGGTGGGTGGGTTATAAATTAAATAAATTAATAATTCCTCAAATCATCCCAGGCAAATGAGAGGTTGAATCTTTGTTTGAAAACTTCCAGCAATTGAGCATCTGTGACTCCAGGAAACAGGCTGTTCCCCTGCTTAATAGTGCTCACAATCAGGAAATTCCACCTTTTTAAAGTTTGACTGTGCAGTTTCCACCTACTGGATCATGTTCCACCCTTGGGTATCATGAAGAATAGATCTATGCCCTAATAGTGACAGCACAGAGAGTAAGGAAGATGACTTTATTCTATGCATTCTGGACATTTCTTTAAGTCCAGAATGTCCAAGTAACTTTCAGAACAGCTTGGACCACCCCAGCCCCAATTCACTGAGCTATAGGAAGGAGGGGAAGGACATACAGCATTATCAGACTTTTAACATTCTGTTGCTATAGCCACTCTTAATAAAACTAGTTTTAGCTATCCTTTGGAATTGATTTCATGGTCTGGTTTATCTAGTGGGCAATAGGCAGCCTTCACTTAAAAGATTCACTTGAAAGATTGCTATCATGTCACTCCTTAGTCATCTTTTCTGAAGGCTAAATATGCCCTGTTCTTTGAATTGTCTTTCATAGGATTTAGTTTCAGATCTCTGAATCATCTTTGATGTTCTTCTCTACATGCTTGCCTTAGATCTCTCTGCTATTGTGGCTATAAAGGTTATACTTGAGGAACTGTCTCATCTCAATAACATTGTCTTGTCTCATCCAGTCAAGCAGGAAGGGCATGCTGCATATCCCATCAGTCTAGGAATTTTGACTGGCAGGATCTAGGAGTAGGACCTTCTCTGCTATTGCCTCCATCCTTTTGAATATCGTACTCAAAGAAGTGATTAGCCTATTATCTGGGCAGGCTGCCAAATGGGCTACTCCCTTGTTAATTCAAAATAGCCCGTTGTTGGACAATTTTCAGGGTTTTCTACAACACATGAGAGTTATGTTTGAAAATCCAATTAAAATACAAACTGTGGCTAGACGGTTACGGGACATTTATCAGGGGAAACGTCCCCTGCAGGAATACATTGCAGAATTTCGTTTGCTGTGTATGGACTCTAACTGGAATGAACCGGCTCATATGGATACGTTCCAGGAAGGCTTGTCTGATGCCATCAAGGATGAGTTAGTCCATGCAGAGCGGGCTTCAACTCTGGATGCATTGGTAATCCAGTGCTTACGTATTGAAGCCCCTTTACAACAGCACGGAAGTAAACAGCACATTGTGGAACCACCTTCTTTTTCTCGTGCACAAACCACGCCACCGCAAGTTTTTCAAACCACGGGTAAGACTGAGGAGCCGATGGAGTTAGGCGCACTCCGCCCTCACTTAACGGCGCGAGAACGTTCGAGAAGGTTCCAGGAAGGCTTGTGCCTTTATTGCGGGGGTCCGGGACATTTTGCAAATTACTGCACTCGGAGAGGGACTCGGAGAGGGACTCCTGGCCCATCGGGAAACGGGGTAGGCCCGACCTCGGGGAAACCCTAGGTCGGGCACGTTCTACACCCCCACCCCAAATTTCTGAAGTAAATCCTGGCCCTCCTCGGCATTTACTTTTGGACACTCGTATCTTTTTGCAGTCCCAGAAGGAGGGAATTCCCGCCATTGTGCTGGTGGATTCAGGGGCTACAACCAGCTTTATGGACTGGGCTTTTGTCAAACATTTTGAAATTCCCTTGCTTGCTGTGGATCCACCCATTAAGGTGGAAACCGAAGATGGGCATGAACTCAAGTCTGGGCCCATTCGTTTCGCCACCCAGCCAGTGCGTATGCTTATTGGGGATCATGAGGAGGCGATAAGTTTTTATGTCACCTCGAACCTTCATCTCCCTTTGGTTCTCAGAGTGTCCTGGCTGCGTTTGCACGATCCATTGGTGGCTTGGGCGCAGAACGCCATTTCTTTTCCAAGTCTCCAATGTGTGGACCACCTGAGACATATCTGCGCTGGCCAAGATATCGCCGCTCCTGCTGTCTCAATATCTTCGGAGCTATCGGACTTCTCCGATGTTTTCAGCGAACAGGAGGCAGATCAATTACCACCACATCGTGCTTATGATTGTCCCGTGGACCTGATACCGGATGCTCCATTGCCAAAGGGTCAGTTATACTCCATGTCGGAGCCCGAGTTGGTTGCTCTCCGAGAGTTTTTAGATAAAAACTTAGCTCGGGGATTTATTCGACCCTCATTGTCCCCTCTTTCGGCTCCTGTTCTTTTTGTTAAAAAGAAGTCGGGAGAGCTCCGTTTATGCTGTGACTACTGACGGTTGAACGCCATCACAGTGAGGAATAGCTATCCTTTGCCGCTCATTCCGGAATTGATGGAGCGGTTGCGGGAGGCTACTATCTTCACTAAACTCGATCTGTGTGGGGCCTACAACCTGGTTTGGATGCGCAAGGGGGACGAGTGGAAGACGGCATTTGGCACTCGTTATGGTCATTTCAAGTACACCATCATGCCATTTGGTCTGACCAACGCTCCCGCGGTATTGCAGCATTTGGTGAACGACATTTTCCGGGACATGCTGGATAGGTTTGTCGTGGTGTATCTGGACGACATTTTAATTTACTCTCGGTCCAGGGATCACCACCTTCAGCAGGTTCGTCAAGTGCTTCAGTGTCTTCAGGAGCATAAACTCTACGCGAAACTGGAGAAGTGTTTCTTTTTTCAGTCATCGATAGAGTTTTTAGGGCATATCATCTCTCCCGAGGGCATTGCTATGGACCCTAAAAAAGTCGAGGCCTTGTGTAGTTGGGAAGCCCCTCGTCGAGTCAAGGACGTGCAACGTCTTCTGGGGTTCACCAATTACTATAGGACCTTCATTCCGGACTTTGCTAAGTTAATGGATCCCATCACTCAGCTCCTCCATAAGAAGGTCCCATTTATGTGGGGCCCCCCACAACAACAGGCTTTTGAAACTTTAAAGAAAGTGTTTGTGGCCGAGCCGATATTGAGGCATCCTGATCCGAATCGTCCATTTGTGGTCGAGACAGATGCCTCTAATGTAGCTATCGGGGCGGTATTGTTGCAAGCTCTGAAGGATGGCACACCTCTTTTCCCCTGCACATACTATTCTAGGAAGCTCACAGCTTCTGAGCGCAACTATACCATCTGGGAAAAGGAGTTGTTGGCTATTAAGGCTGCATTTGAGACCTGGCGACATCATCTAGAGGGTGCTCGGCACAAGGTGGAGGTTCGGACGGATCACCGAAACTTTGAACATTTGTCTACCGCTAAGAAGTTGAACCAACGCCAGATCCGGTGGTTGTTGTTTTTCACAAGGTTCTATTTTTCCGTCACTTATGTTCCAAGTGGACAGAATCGGAGGGCAGACGCATTGTCTCGGAAACCCGAATATATCGTTCCCGAGATTCCTCTTCCTCTACGAACGGTGTTGCCACCAGAATCCTTGGCCGTACTTCAAGATCCAGTAGATTTGCGGGCTCGCATACGGGAGGTGCAACGTTTGGACGCATGGACGCAGCAGAGACGGGGGGACGTTAGACCTGATTCCCCATGGTGCTTTGAAGAGGGCTTGCTACGACATCGGGGTTTATTGTATGTACCCACCAGGTCGCTGAGAGCTCTCATCATGACGCAATGTCATGACAACCCCGCTGCTGGTCATTTTGGATTTTATAAAACTTTGCATTTGGTCACCCGGACTTTTTGGTGGCCTCGGGTTCGACACGATGTGTTTTCTTACTTCGCTTCTTGCATACAATGTAGACAAGCGAAAGCGGCATTGGGTGCGCCCCCTGGACTCCTCCAACCATTGCCGACTCCGGGCAGACCATGGGGAGCAATCTCCATGGACTTTCTCACGCATTTAGCATCCTCGTCGGGCTTCACGACGGTGCTCGTGGTAGTCGATATGCTGACTAAAATGGCTCATTTCATTCCATGTCAGAAATTACCATCGTCCCGCACTACGGCCCAGTTATTTTTACAGCATATCTTTCATCTACATGGACTGCCGGATAGAGTGGTTTCGGATCGTGGGGTCCAGTTTACTGTGCAGTTTTGGAAACAGTTAATGGAGGCGTTACAAGTTCAGGTGTGCTTAGTGTCAGCGCACCATCCGGAAACTGATGGCGGGACTGAGAAGGTTATTGGCATTCTCACTCAATATTTGAGATGTTTT